GAACCCGAATTCTTCCCTCTTTCCCAGGATCCAGTGGCCTTCCGTTCCCCTGACATCTCGTCAGAACCCCGAGAGGCAGAGACACGCTCAGCGAAGGCAACGGCGGGGACGGGGGAGAAGGGGGTGGGAGGCAGCAATGGCAACTCCAGGGCTGTGACCCGCTTTCAAGAGGCCAGGGGAGCTCTTTCCCATCCGGGATGCGGGGAGGAGGAATCTCCTAGAGGAGAAGGCTGGGAACGGCGGCGGCTGGTCCTGGGAGATTCTAGATTACTTCCGGTGTGGGAGCAACACACCCCTGGATGCCCGTTGCTGGGGAACTGAAACCCCTTGACCTAACCTGCCGCTTGGAAAGGGGGCAGGGTCTGAAGAAAGATCACCTAGTGACCAGTCTCTCTCCCTCCCTCCCTCACTCCGTCTCTTCCTTCCCGGAGACTGAATACGCGCAATAGGAGAGCGTCCCGGCCGGCTGGAATCCTCAGCTGGGCTGGCTGATTTCCGTAGGATTCGCATCCTTTAACCTTGACTGACTCTCAGGATCTGGCTAGTAGTCTCTCAGAAAAGGGGGAAAAAGACAGGTCTATCATCATTAGAAAGTGAACCGTACGGAGGGACTGCACGGGAGGGAGGAGAGGATCCTGTCCAGGATCTAATATTAGCCTTGTCTTGTCAAATCATGACTTATTTTAGACGACTATCCTGCCTCCGACAGCGGTCAGCCCGGTGCCTCTTTGGCTCATAAGGCAGGGCAGCGACTTCCCTTCTCCCACCCCAACTCACTACTGCTATATCATCATCATCTAATAATAATAATAATAATAGAGTAACAACAATAGTTTACTGGACCAGTCAGCCTAGTAACGTGAAATTTCTTTTCCTGGGACCAAACTATTCTTTTGTGGTTTCCCATCACCAGCTTCTCTCCATGGCAGTCTGTGTGAATACATTTTGCAGTAATGTACTTGCTTCTTTTAAAAAGGATATGCTATCGCTTTTCTACTTGACCGTCTAAAACGGTCACAAAACGCTCCTAGGCGCTTTATAAATTCACGAATAAACCTAGTCTTAAGACTGATCTTTCTTCCGGAATGAACATCCTACACTGTGACCCTAATCTACTGAAATAGCTCCTCCTCCTCCTCCTTCCACCGCTTTAACGTGAAATGGTGTCTAAAATGAAACGAAGGACAACAAAAGGAATATCCCTGCGCTTTCTAAGCCTCTCTAGGTTAACAGTTACAGTAACTTAAAGTCCATCCATCCATCCATCCATCCATCCATCCATCCTTCCTTCCTTCCTTCCTTCCTTCCTTCCTTCCTTCCTTCCTTCCTCGCCTGCCCCCATTTCTGCGGGGCCCCTGGGCACACAGTCTGCTCAAATGGGCAGTGAAGGGGCGTAGGAGCGCAGGGCGAGGCTGCTTTTCTTGGCTGGCCCTTCTCCGGGCGAGTTGGCGTGGAGGTGAGGGGGGGGAGGCCTCCTGAGGGACGGTTCGAGGGAACAGACCAAGTCCCCCAGGCGGCAGAAGAACCAGGAGGAGGTGGCGGCGAGGGGAGGCGTATCAAGAGGGGCACCTTGAGGTGATGCAGTCCAGTCCCTCGCGCAGAGCCCCGCCGGGGACCTGCAGGCCAGGCGGCAATGATTTGAGCGGAGTGTTCAAATCAACGCAAGCTCTTCCAGGGACTGCAGGTGAGCGGGGCTGTACCTCGCTGGCCTCCCCTACGACTTTCTCCCCCACCCCAGCCGGCCATTTCTGCCCGGCCCCTCCATCTCCCCGGTGAGGGCAGAGGGCACGGGAGAGCCTCCCTGGCCCTGCCACAGTCCGCTTGCTCAGTGGAACGGGGGCGGGGGGATCCGTCCCTGTCTCTCTCTCTCTCTCTCCCTCTCTCTCCCCCCCCACTCCAAACCCCGAGGTTCCCTGTGTGTGTCTCAGATTCCTGTTCCAGCCCAAGATTTCTCTCTTAATTGCATTACTTACAGTAAATAGACAGCTCTGCTGTTGGGGGCTCAAGTGTGCCAACAGGAAGACAGGGATTCTTCTTCTGCTGCTGCTTAATTATAATCCAAGCTCATTTCACTTGATTGGCTTTATCTTCTCTGTGAAATAGTGGTGTTGGGATAGGTTCAGACGCGCAGGGGCTTTTTTTGCTCGCCCTCCCCCTTTCTTTCTTTCTTTCTTTCTTTCTTTCTTTCTTTCTTTCTTTCTTTCTTTCTTTCTTTCTTTCTTTCTTTCTTTCTTTCTTTCTTTCTTTCTTTCGTTGGGGGGATGGGATGGCGAGGGTTGGAGTCTTTGTAAAACCAGGGATCCTGCTTCTTCCAGCGGAGCTAAAGCCCCGCTATAGGGCCGAGAGGGCGTGCGATTGGAAATGCTAGCGGCTAATTTGCCATTTCGCAAGCTGCACTGGACACTGACTGGGGAGAAGATACTACCAGTTTAGCCTCGCTCTTCAAGAAGGGTTAAGAAGGACCCGCCACGCGGGGAAGGGAGGGTTTGAAAAGTAAACCGGAGAAACTCAAAAAGGAGTAAACAGGACGAGGGGAGACAGAGCAACAGACCGTCCCGTCGTGGTTGTTCGGTCCCCAATCCGACAGACACCTCCAGAGGCCGGCATCTGTCACAGAACAAGCCGAACTAGGAGGGCAAATGTTCGGGTTTAGAGGTTTAAAGAACATTTCTTTCCTGTGTGTAGAAGGGCGTTGTGCGACCCGGAAGCTTGCAACCCCAATCCTCCGGACCCCGCTGGCCCAATGAATGGCAGCCTCTTTATTACATCATGAGAGGAAGCAAAAGCGAGAGTGAAGCCCTCAGTAAATCCCTATCAGCATTTTGCAAGACTTTCCCCAAACTTGATGCTCTTCAGTGCCTTCAGGAGCTCACTTAGTCTTTCTTTCTTTCTTTCTTTCTTTCTTTCTTTCTTTCTTTCTTTCTTTCTTCCTTTCTTCCTTCCTTCCTTCCTTCCCTCCCTCCCTCCCTTTCTTAATTTTATTCACATCCTAACCACGGCAAACAATCTTTTTTCCTGTTTCACGTATCCAGAGGGCTCGGGAGTTAGACCGAACTTCCCGCTGAAGTGATAAAAAAAATAGAAAAGAAGTCAGTCATCCTTCGGGGCTTACTGTTTCTTCAGAAGGCCCTGTCTTGCTCAGTCTCAAAGGGGCTGAACAGTCAGTGCCCCAGGGACACTGGCCTCCACCTCCACCCACACTCGCACGGCTTCACCAACAGTAGGACTTAAAGGGTCGTCCCGGCCCTTCCTTAAAGCCGATTCCCATCCCTTGGCTTTCACAGGGACTGAAAATGCCATCGAAATAAACGGCATTTAATGGTAGAAAAAGACAATAGGCGTATCACATTTTAGACACTCTCCGGGCAAATGCCACCAACTTTTGAATATTGCCTTTGGTGAAGAAGATGGATAGCTGGGTTCTTGGCGTGGTAAGTAACGGAGTCGACCTCGTCGAGATGCCTACATTAGGACTGCAGCCTCAGACACGTGTTTAGAGAGAAAAGCGCCCTTGAAGGATGGACTAATCCGTGACTCTCTTTCTTTCTCCCCTCATAGAATCATACGATCGTCGTAGGGTTGGAAGGGACCTTGGAGGTCTTCTAGTCCAACCCCCTGCCCAACGCAGGAGAACCTCATACCATCCCGGACATATGGCTGTCCAATATTTTCTTGATGTAATATTTTCTTTACTCTGATGTAACCTCAAGGAGTCTGATCCGGATCCGGATCTGAGAGTCGGAAAGACTATTAAAGTCGTGATCGGGTGACCTTCCCTTGCCCACCACTTGTCTTACCACACAGTGATCCATTTTGCCCTCCCTCTGAACTCAAAGAGAATTTAAAGTGTTGAACTCCAGATAATTGTTTTTCTTTTCTTTTCTTGCCTGCGGCGGGGGTGGGGGAAAAATCTGATTTGAACTTGAGAACGGGACTTGGTGGGCAGGGATCTGGGCTGGCGAGAAAGGCTGGAGGCAGGCAAGGAGGGGAAGTGGAGAATACAAGCTGGACTCCCCAATCTTTCCCTCGAGCCCGATCAGTTGAGGTTTGCCTTCTTCCCCTTTCACCATCCCCACTCCAGAGATGGGGGGGGAGTGCAGATTCAGGGGTTCTGCATCCCTCCATCTTTCCACCTCCAAACCTCCCCCCTTTTCGGATATTTGCCCGTCACGGGGATTGGGGGCTGGAGGAGTTTGACAGCTCTTTGTTGTCTGTATAAAGAAGAGGAGGAGGAGGAGGAGGAAGGAGAGGGAGGGAGAGAGAAGGAGGGGGGCCTGGTGGCAGCTCCGAGGCGAGGACTCCTCCTCCTGAATTATCCAAAATGGGTTGGCTTTCGTCTCGAACAAATTGGACGGAGCGTCGGAGAGCAGCAGTCCCAAATCCAACCTAGAGGCAACTGAGAACTTTCAAGCAAGCCGGGGATCGCTGCCTTCAAAAACAACCACCACCACCCAAAGCAAGAAAGGAACCTTTCCCCTTAATTTTGGCTTTTCTTTGTGTCTCAAGACATCAGTCTATTTGGCTTTTCTTTGTGTCTCAAGACATCGGTCTATCTACTTTTCTCTCTCTCTCTCTCTCCTTCCTTCCTTCCTTCCTTCCATCCCTCCCTCCCTCCTTCCCTGCCTGCCTGCCTGCCCGCCTTTTTGTCCCGATCCTTGCGGGCCGATCTTGCTGAGGGGCTCTCCCCCACTTCTCTCCTTCCCTCCCTTCTCCAGCCCCCCAAGCTCTCCCAGTCCAGGAAGCGGCCGCGTCAGGAGTC